CGCCACCGCCCGTCCCTCCAACTTTTCCAGCATCTATCAAGACTTAGATCACCCCCATGTATTTCCAGGTTGCCAGTCTCCTGAAAACTCTTCAAACTCCTCACTTGATGTGGGTTGGGTACATATGTCCCTGATCTCTTGTACACGGGTCCAATCTAACCCATCCCCCTCCCCGTCATCACTCCCAGTCCTATCACTCCCTGTGAACTCCATGAAGTCTTCCTCCTTAGTTGGAGCATTAAGTATTTCACGGATCCGCTTCCTTTCTCTCTCTTCATCTGACTCTTGCTCCCGAGTAGCCCGTTTCAAGCCTCTGCCCCCATCTCCCTCCTAATCCATTTCAGAATCTGAGAAACCTTGAAATGATTCAGAATCTGTAGGTGTCATGAATATCTCCCTAATTCGCTTCCTTTGCTGCTCTTGATCCAGCACCTGAGCAGCCCTCTTTCCCCTCCTACTACCAGTTGTAGCTTGCTCAACACACTCTACTGCAACAACTGTTTTGAAACATTTTAGACTAGCTGCAGCTTCTCTTTAAGGGCATCTTAATGTGAATGAGCTAATGTGAGTGCTCATGACTCAGTTATTAGGAAGAGACTGAAGAAAAATATTGATGTGAAGACAGCCAGGAGGAAACCACTGTTCTTTAAAAATAACATTGTTCTATATCCACATTTGCAAAAAACCATAAAGATAATCTCCCAGAATTCTGAAACAATGATTTCTGGGCAAACAGGTCGAATATGTAACTTCTTGGGCTCATTTACAAAGATTACCTTTGGCAAAAAGCAAATACTGAGTGAAAACAGAAGAAGCTCATTCTAAACATCAAGCATGATGGCAGCAATGAGTTCAGTCAAGCCTGCCTTGCTGTCTCAGGACCTGAATGAGTTGCCACCATTCACACAGGCATATATTCTACACTATATCACTGGATTCTAGAATAGAAACTAAAACGAACACATACAATACAACAGTGCTCTGGAACATACTAACAGATCTACTCAATAGTGTGTTTTAAAATGGTCTAATCCAGCAGTTCTTAACCTCTGGTCTGTAGACTCCTGGGGCACAATGTCCTCAAAATTCATCTGGAAAGGCTCGAAGAAATGTTATGAGTGTTTACAGTTAAGACAGACAGACAGACAGATAGACAGATGATCATACCTTGATCTCAAATGCAATTCTTTTACAAGTGATATCTTTATCAAAAGAAGTGAACTGATGTCATCTAAGCCAGTATCAAGGGACAGTTATTAGAAATAATTTGTATGTCCATCTATTTTGTTCTGCAACTGAATGAAAGCACCGACATAACATACAAAGCAACCTTATGTGAGCATAAGATGAATATTTTTGAAGACTTACTCTTCATCTCCTCATTGGTATGCACTACAGTTGAAGAAACATTTAACAACTTAAATGAGTTTATAACATCTCATTATATTGGGATGGATTGGAAGTCACATAGAAGTGGCACAAGCAGTATACAGAAAGCGTACTGGACTTGTAGCACGGATTATTGAAATTATATTGTTGGTGACTGGGTACTATTCCTGCATATATAGGAATGCTCTAGTTGCAAAGGAAGTACCAGAAAAATTAAAGCGGAATTTTTAAAATCAATCTTTCAAAGTTATTAAAGAAATTTTGAGCAGCTTTGTAAATATGTGGACAGTGAACACCGTCAACTTTTGCTCCACTGGTTTTGCTATCACAAGATAAAGTTTTGTCTCAAGAGGTGAGATCAGATTATTTCTCATGGAGCATCAATTTTAGCTTAACACAATTGTTTGTGGGAGTTTTCCTGATTAATAAAATTAGCATTATCTTGTCAGATATCTTTACTCATTTAAATATAAATCAAGGAGAAAAGGTTACAGTTTCTAAGGTTGAAGACAAGATAGAAGCAGTGATAAAAAAGTTGGAATTGTGGCATGACTACCTATCAAACCAAAACTATAAGATATTTGCAAATATCACATTTTATTAGTTCCATTGACAAAGAACTGTCTGAAGAGGACACATTATTATACAACATTTGAAAGATTTGCAACATAGTTTATGTGAATATTTTCCTGTTCCTGATCCAGGAAAAAACTGAACTAGAAGCCCATTTTCAGTTAACTTATACTAACTAGAGGCTCACAGTGGCAATGTAAGGCAAGCTTATAGTAATATCCATGGATAGTGTTCTGAAATGACAATTCAAGAAACTCTCCATTCCAATTTACTAGGCTCACTTGCAAGAAGGTTTTCTATAGCTATCAAAGAACCATGAAAGCATTTATGCCGTTCATAACAATGTACTTAGGTGAAAAATCATTCCCGACTCTTGTTTATCTTAAAAATAAGTGTAGAAACTGTATAAAATGCAAGCAGAATACAAGTTTTAGCTATTAAGCCTGATATAGCAAGACTTGTAAATTAAATACAGGACCAGCCTTCTCAGAAAGTGCTGAACTTGTATTCATTGCTGCTCAAAGGAGTTTTGCTAAATACTAATTTAATACTAATTTTGCTAAATACTAATTCACATACTTGTACATTTTCATGCCTAGATATTGACTGTTGGGTTACCTGTGGATTTAAAAAGGCTGACATCATGTTTGTGTGTCATTTGTTTAGTCATCTTATCTGTTATTCTCTATCAAATTATGGATTTAGATTAAGAACTAACATCAGGTTTTTACAAACTTATAGCTACATTATATATAACTATATATATGCTTACTGCATATATATGATACAACTTCTGGATCACTATTAGTTGAGAAAATAATTACAATATTCTGGTATATGATCCTTGTTGTTAAAATAATTGCAAGTAAAATGATGGCATAAGGAGTTTAGTTGTTTGCTTTGCTAGGCCACTGGGAAATCACATGGGCACCATTTGTTGTTTTGTCTTGTAAGATGTATATGTGCTTTCTTGTATACTACAGCTGTTGAGAGTATGTGACGGTACCTAGTTTTTAACAATATTTTCATATTAATAAGATGAAGTATTAACTGATGTATTTTAGACTGAATTGTAAAGCCTTTTTGATTTTGAAGCCATTTAAATTATAATGTGTGAGAGAATTAGACAAAACCCATCTGTGGCGTCTCAGCAAGTGATAACCATATTTATGACATACAAAATTCCTTCACATTTAGGTACTGCACAGGATTAAAAAACAGTATAATTTTCAGTATTATTTAGCTCTTGCACACAAATTTAAAATTTAATGGCTTATAAATTTAAATATAGACATGTTAATTAGCTAAGACCAATTACAATTTGCTCTGTTAGTAAAATTTAATAATGGCTGCATCTATTCCCCTTGTCTTCATATTCCTCTCCTCATTTAGTCAGTCTTCATGTCAGCAAAATATAACTGGGTCTGGGCAGAATTAATGCTGCAGGCTACAAAATATAGGACAGAGCCTCCACTCTTGACTTCTGTCCTTGGTGATGACTGCTGTATTTCATGATAAATTATTGTATAATGTTCAGACAAAAGGTTTCACGATTCTTCGTACCTTCCACATAATTACTGAATTCTACCAGTCCTGAACAATATGCTCTTTTCTTTTATTCTTTGTGAGTTTCTGTGCATGCTCTTAATGTTGCATTACCTCATCTAGGTTCACCTTTGCTATAAATCTCTTTCTCCCTAGCATCTGCTTGGCTTGGACTGTTGCTTTGTCATCACCAAACATTGTTTTCTCCAGTTTTTAAATGTTTGTGCATATGTGTTGCTGTTTACATTAATATCCTTTGTACCTACTTTTAAAAATGCATCCATGAATATAAGTCCAACTTTTGTCTCATTTTTTGTCATATTTTCATATAGCTAATACCGTTTTTACAGCTTGTCCTGTAAAAAAAAACAACAGACACCCCCCCCCCCAATTCTATAATCTTGAAGGTATTGGTATTATAATTTTTTGCTGAAATTAATATTTCTGTATATTGTCAAAGGCTTTCATGGCCGGAATCACTGGGTTGTTGTAGGTTTTTTCAGGCTATATGGCCATGTTCTAGAGGCATTCTCTCCTGACGTTTCGCCTGCATCTGTGGCAAGCATCCTCAGAGGTAGTGAGGATGACCTCACTACCTCTGAGGATGCTTGCCACAGATGCAGGTGAAACGTCAGGAGAGAATGCCTCTAGAACATGACCATATAGCCCGAAAAAACCTACAACAACCCAATATTTCTGTAGATACAAGCTGTTGCTCACAACAGGTTACTATTTGCATTATTGATATATGTAGGTACTTCCATATTTTCAGTAAGGTTTGCAAAGTTATATAAGTAGGATTTGAAAGATTGCTTAGGTTCATGTCCAGGGTCATGATTGAGCCTATTGAATTTTAAAAGTTCTGGGTGCTAACTTCATACTACTGTATTATGAAGTGTATTTTAATTCCCTGAGTTTTAAAAACTAGAGTGTGGGGAGGGGGCTGCTGTTTGAGACATGTAATGTGTTTTTTTAAATTTATTATGGAACTAGTTTCACAGTTCTTTGGATCCCAGCAGCATTTAAAAATGCATAATTAAGAATGAGAGAGATCTATATTGCTTTAAAAACAAAACAAGGGAAATAAATCCATTGTGTTACTATTGGGGATTGAAGACCATTAAATGAATATACAAAATTAAGACGACATGCTTTCAACAGCAGTATTCATGGAGCAGATATTAGGTCAAGCTATGTTTACCAGTGAAGACCAGTTGAAACATTCATAATGCTCTGGAAAAGAAATGTCGAATATTTGGTCTACAATCAAACTAGAGTGTATTTAAGAGTGTAAAAATGATTAGAATACAGTGATGCAATGCACTTGGAAGGTAATTTTATCATGTAGTAGTGCATAAACAGAAGGAAGGGATTTTTACAGTTTAATTTTATGTATTTGTAATTGTTATATGCAATATTTATGTATATTTTCAAGAAGCAGTAACTGTCATTCAGATGGGCTTTTAATGGCTTTTGTACTTGTGTAATCTCAGAATAACGACAATGAGACGGCACTGCACTGTGCAGCTCAGTACGGACATACAGAGGTGGTGAAAGTTCTCCTGGAGGAGTTGACTGACCCTACAATGCGCAATAACAAGTTTGAGACCCCTCTTGATTTGGCTGCACTCTACGGCAGATTGGAAGTGGTGAAGATGCTGCTGAATGCCCATCCCAATCTATTAAGCTGCAATACTAAGAAACATACACCCTTACATCTGGCAGCTAGAAATGGTCATAAAGCTGTAGTTCATGTTCTTCTGGATGCAGGCATGGATAATAATTATCAGGTATTTTGTAAAAGATATTCTATGTATTTTAATGCAATATTATTTTTTTTAGGTAACAGATATTGGACCAGATGCTAAGTTTTATGGCACAGTAGAACTGTCCCAAAGGTTGATAACTAGTTTGATAGCTGTGTTGAGTGTTAGTTCCAGGTTTTGAGAAACTCTTGGACAAGTTGTTTTGCCAGCTTTCTCCCGTTGTGCACGATGAATTAAAGACTGAGCCAGAGGGGTGCGGTGGAATGTGTTAAGTTCATGAAATAGGTTTGTAAGGGTCTTAACTGTTAGTTTTAATACTTCCAATGTTTAATATTATGTTAATGTCTATATATTTTTTAGATTTTAAATTGTATATATTATATTGTTTTCGTGTTAGCCACTCATTTTAGAGAGATAAAGCATAATACAAACAACAACAACAACAACAACAACGTGAGGAGGCAGGAACAGCAAGGAAAAACAAGAAGCCCAAGAGGCTGTAGTGATTGACACTAAACCCCAATTTTCATGATACTGATCCAAATGTCATCACCAGAGTTTGGATTAAAAATATTTTCTCAAGCCATTTGCACAATGTCTACTGTCTCTTTGCAAATCCACATACACGTTTCACTAAATAGACTGGTATATGATCTTTCACATGTATGCTCCTGCAGCAAATATGCAAACATGTTATATATTTTCAACTCAACTAAATTTTCTATTAGTCTGTCATTAGGAGAAATACACACGGACCTTGTTTAGATTAGAAGTCTAGTTTATTCTTGTTAATATCATTCAAAATAATCACTCCCTATCTTAAAATACGAGATTCTTGTTTCTGGTTTTAAAGAAAGCTTGGAGAATTTTGCAGTTTATGGATGAAGTAGCAGGTAGCCTCTCTTTGTAACATGAGTCTGCGTGAATGTGCAAAAATATGTTACATGAATTTTCAAATTGGCCTTATTCTATGTTTGATTTACAGACAGAAAAAGGCAGTGCTTTGCACGAAGCAGCTTTGTTTGGCAAAACAGATGTGGTCCAGATATTGTTAGCTGCAGGTGAGAAGCGTTTTGAATATTCTAGGCATATCTTTCTCTGTTGCTGATTTTCAATTGCCTAAGCATAGTTCCTTTCAAGAACGTTCAACATAAATACTGATTCAGTATCTATATCTAAAATGTTGAAATAAGCAATGTTTTGAGGATTTCTTCTGGCTCTTATCAGTGTTTTTTTTTTAACCTGCACTACATGCCCTGCTTGATGATAGTGCAAGAAATATAACAATTTTAATAAAATTAAACAGAATTTAATAGAAATTTATTTTTATTTAATTCTAGGCACTATAAATTGAAATTGAGGTGTTTTTAGTATAACAAATGTAACCATGTTAATAAAAGCTAAACATAATTTAATAGAACAGTATGCAAGTTGAAACCTAAACAATATAAAAACATTCAAACAAAAAGATCTTGCATTTCTAAAAGAAGTTTCAACTTTGATACTTATCTGAGGAAAGGGAGGGCTATAATTTTGAACTGGCCCGCAGAACATGCATTTTGCATATGCTTGTCTGAATATTGGTCATGTGAAGAATAATTAAGACAGTATTTTGAGCAGACCCAAAAATTAAATGAAGAAAGAACAAAAGTGTTATCATACTTTAAGGTTATTCCACAGTGATGCTGTTTAGCTTTAAGGTGACAGAAGACATTTCTTTTCCTTTCCTAGTCAGTCATAATCATAGGGTACCAAATCTCAACAGATAAAAGTCTAGATGCTGCAGAATCATAAAATTCTTCTCCCCTCTATTAATAGTAGTTTGTTTTCGCCACAGTTTAGTGCTACCTTTGCTTCCAAATTCAACTACAATTAAGGTATACAAGGATTCGCAATTTCTTTTTTATCATGTTACGTTTTCTTCAGAAGTTTGACTTTTTAGTGATAGATTTTGGATAAAGCCAAATTTCTGTATCAATATATCCATAACTCATTCTGTTTTATCTAAGGCATTGATGTGAATATAAAAGATAACAGGGGCCTGACTGCTTTGGAAATTGTGAGAGAGCTCCCATCACAGAAAAGTCAACAAATAGCCGCTCTCATTGAAGGTAAACAATATGAAATACAAAGGGATGGCATCTTAAATATCTGAAGCTGTAAAAATCCATGTTAATTTTGAATAGAAACTAAGCTACTTCACATATTTGTGTGTGCATGCACACACAAATAAAATATTTATGGTTCTTTTTCAGTGCGTTCATTCTCCAATGTGTTGGGTTGCTTAAGAGCTGTGGCATATATAGCATGACACTTAAAAGTATAAACTGTTAGTATGTTAGGTGTATAAAGATTCTTACCTTGATTCTTAATCTCCTTAATTTTATAACTTACTTTCAGTTCAGTATGGTATAATATATCTCTGTTTATGGGATCTTACATGTAATGTTGTAAGCTGCCCCAAGTCCCTTTTGTGAGAGGGGGTGGGATACAAAGAAGTTTATTATTATTATTTATGTACTTTATAAAAATAATAAGATATAAGGAAATTTATTTACACAACAGCAAAGGAAAAGTTCTGATTTAGGCAACTTTTTTGAAATATTTGAAGTTCTGAAAAAGCATCCCTAAAATGGTGTTTAATGCTTTCCTAAATGACTGAGTTGTAGAGAAGAGATGTATATCCATCGGGTTTGCATTCCCAAACTGAGGACTCACCACAGGAAATGGTCCCTCTTTTTTCCTGTTGAAATAGTATTGTTTGAGTGGCCAATATTAGCTAATGTCATTAGTGAGGGAAGAAGAATGTTCGAAGCATTTCCACTTGGACATTCTAAAAGCTTAGTGTTGTCTTGTGTCAACTAGTTGTAATAGTCTGTCTAATATGTTTCATCCAATGCTGGCCTAGTGAAGAGAATTTGCAGAACTGGGGCTCCCCTCACTTATTTTCCTCTGATCTCCTATACAGATGCTATATAGACGTTCACTAGTTACATAGATTAAATCAGCTATTATACAGAAGGCTGAACTGGGAAAGGGTGATTGTTGACGAGCTGCTGGGGATAGCTTCTATGAATAGAAGTTCTCTCTACTTGTGGAATTACAATAATTGTTTGCAATCCATAGTTTCTTGGAATTACACTAGTTGGTTACAATCCAGAATTTCTTGGATCTAAGGGTTCACTAATCAGACCTTAATTGAACAAATTAAATAGCTCCTTTTGCACTTTGTAAGATCTGTATTGAAATACTGTTTGTTTTGCTTCTACACATTTTTGGTTGCAACCACTGATATACAGTCTTTTTATTTGTTCAGAGAGCACAATGGGGAAGAAGGCAAATACAGTGGAAGAGAAGAGCACATCAGCATCATCTACTTCTAATGAAACCTTAGTTCAGTTATCCCAAGGTAAACATTTCTTGGAAAAGAAAGGGCTAAATTTTGTTAAGTAATACAAGAACATATTGCAGGTGGGTCAAGGTAATAAGAGTTACAGTATTATTGACCTTGTGGTAGTTTGCAGACAAACAAAATGCTCCCAGTATTTTAGACTAAAAATATTACTTTAATACTTTGCAAATGTGGATGGCAGTATCTATTAATCCAAGTATATATTTTGGAGCCAGCATGGGATAATGCTTTGAGCATTGGACAATGACTCAGAAGACTACAGCTGCAATCCCCACTCAGCCATGAAATCTAGTGGGTGACTTTAGACAAGTTGCACTCACTCAGTCTTGGAGAAGGGCAACAACAAATCTTGCCAACATATGGTCACTATAAATCAGAAATGAATTGAAGGCTCACATTGAGAAAATACATTTTATTTTATGTTGACGTTCAATAACAGTATGACTTCATTGCTAAATAGATGATAGGAAGAAAGAAAACAAAATAAAATGGATATTTCCATCTTCAGGATGTGTACAGGATACAGGAGCAGATAGAGGTTCAGTATTGCTTATCTGGCATTCTAAAATTGAAAATCATCTATATAGTTCAATGTGTTGTGACTTCACAACCTCTGAGGTTGCCTGCCATAGATTCAGGTGAAACGTCAGGAAAGAATGCTTCTGGAACATGGCCATTCAGCCCGGAAAACGCACAGCAACCCATCTATATGGTTGACTGAAATAATGATCCACTTGCTTTTGGTTGATTTGGTGTAGGCAAAATTTGTTTCATGTACACAGTTATTTGAAATATTGTGTGAAATTTCCTTCAGACAAAGTATATAAGGTGTACATGAAACATAAATGAATTTCGTATTTCGACTTCTCCTATATAATTTCATTATGCAAATGACAGATACTCCAAAATAAATCAATTAAAGCTGAAATATTTTTGCTTCCAAGCATTTCAGATAAGTAATAATCAGCCTGTCTTGCTTTAGGTGTTTTGGACTTGTGAATCGTGTACATTCATGTAAGTGAGCACCAGCATCTTCTGTTGGGCTCTTACATTGAGTCAATATAAGTCTAACATTTTTACATTTGTAATATTCCTTATAAGTCACTAATCTTAGGATGCTTCTCCAACTGCGCAGGGAGAGCTGAAGTAAACCTATAGGATTTATTAGAAATCCTTTCTCGTGTTTTTCGGGAGGCAAATAAACTCAGACCATTGCTTGGCACAGCAACATTTATTCTTAAAACTAATTGTTTGCAGCTGTTAATTATTTCTAAACATTTGCTCTCTCTAGGAAATGTGGAAAAAGCAGTGACAGAACTGATAATAGATTTTGACGGAAAGCCAGAGGAATGTCCGTATGAAGTCTTGTACAATGCAACGTCTTGCCATTCTTTGGACAGCCTGGCCAGTGGAAGATCTTCAGACAGAGACTCTGTGAACAGGGAAGCGGAGATGACCAATGTTAGAGTGAGGCCTGTATGTAGCCTGATGTGTGTTGTCTTTTCCCTTTTTATGGAAATTAGTCTGGGATATATCACCAGGCCTGTGCACTCTCCAAAATTGCAGTAAGTTCATAGCCTAGCAATACAGTTTGGAAATACTATTAAATAATTGCAAGAGGCTTTGCTTACTGAGCAACTGGAAACTCACCCCTGCTGCATGTGCTATGTGTGACAGCTCTTAAGCATTATAATTTCATGCGATGGCAAGCTTAATTTTGGTTAAAAAATTATTCTGCACATGTTTACTTGGCTATGGGAGATAGTAGCTACAATAATTAATATCTTCACAATACTAATGTTCACTCACAAGGAAAGAAGCTTGTTTAGAGCATGATCTTCATTTAACTCTGTTTTTATTCACCTTTATTCCACCAGGGAACAATTTCTGTATTGCAAGGATCTTGAATGCAAGACTTATCTGCCAGAGTGTTAGTTTGTGATTTTAATTTGGCAACAAAACCAATTGGAACTTGTAGACGGAATCCAGCAGGGGGAGCTTTGAGGCTTATAGGATAACGCAGTCGCCTCAGTGAGATCTCCAACAGAAGATCAGTCTTGCTTAAAAGAATCTGCTTTTGCTGTGTCTGTTCTTTAGAAGAGATAACATTGCACTTTGAAAGCATGCTACCTTGGTTTCGACATTTCTGGCTGAATAGCTTCATAGAAAACATTTTTAATGCATACTTATAACACTGAAGTAGAGGAAAAGAAGCAACTTCAAAAGCTGATGGAAAAGAGCACTGCTGAATTCTAGTCTCGTTTCACAATAAGAGATACAATGTACAGTATTAGTTTTTAAGGCAATTATTCTATGGCTGCCCTATATTACAAGCAGACTGAGCTGAAAAAAATATAATTTCTCTTTGTGGACAGACTGTTGTCTTGTCAGATGGGCTCACCTTAGTTGGTTTAATACTTCAAGTGAAGATAAAAAGAAAGTTGAGAAAGAGCCAAACTAAAGCAGAGTTAGGGCAAAGGTGAAGCTAGGTCAACAAGTGGGGACACTATCCCGAATCTTCTTGCTTAGACCAGTGAGCAAACCTCATCTGAGAGCCTTATACACAGGCTAGGGAATAAACTATATATCTTGCTCTGCCATGTAAAAATGCTTTCTCTATAGTTGACTGGTTCTTTTGTAAGACCAATTCAGCCTAAAATTGTGCACATTACATAAAAAATATGAAATTTGGAATTTTTGGGCATTGTCCAATACAAAATTTGAACATTTAGCCCAGTGGGTGTAGCAGGAGATTGGCATGTGTTTTGTTCTTTTTGACTATGAGTATGGAATAAAAATGCCACATGAGCAATTATGCTGAATGTAATTTTTAGCAAGGTGCAAAATCCTGGTAGTATTACAAAGTGCTCCAGACTGGGATAGGAAGGCACATGAAGATCTTCATGTCAACTCAGATAGATAATTCTTGACCAAACTCTGGAAAGGTGATAAGAACTCATGTATACTATCAGTACAAAATGAGACACAGTAGTGACATTATGTACTACACAGTAGATTTGTATATACACAGAGCAAATATTTCAATTTGGCTTTTTAATGTCTGGGGTTAATATTAGTTCATGGAGAGATATAAATTATATTTAATCAGAGTACGTTTCATTTTTTAAACAAGATTTTCTAGCAAGTTCTGTGTTTGTGTGTATAAAGATGTTAATAAGATATCATATTTCATTGTGAATATTAACATGTTTCATTTTGCATTTTCTGTTTTCTTTATATGCATTCAATTTCATTTGTTATTTAATTGGTAGAGGATACTATAATCACCATCAAAATGTTACATTCACATGGAGAGTATTCATTTATGGCTGAAAAGTATAAAAATGAAAACTCACTCTAAGCTGGAGTAGATGTGAACAGGGATCCATATCAGAACATGTTTAGAATTTTTTTTATTACTGTATGTCCAAACCAAATTTGATGCTTTTAATCCAAAGGGCAGAAGTGTTTTTGAAAAACTTCATAACCACTGCATTAAGTAGTTCTTTCTCATTCAGTGTCAGAACTGAATATTCTGGTTTTTTTTTGCTGGAGTGGGTTAAAAGTGGAATACATATATAGCCTGAGTCCTGCCGACACTACAGTAGAGCATTAGTCCTAGATGCACATGTAAACATGTTCAATCTTTGAGTGTGTTCATGCCAGTTGTCTGAAACTGACTATTCCAGTGAGTTAGATGGTGCAAGGAGCAGCAGTAATGCCATGACAGAAATCTTAGTAGTAAGATAGCCAGTAATGGGGCTGTATATGTCAAATAGTTCATCTTCCTATAATAAATTCCTATGACTTGAAAAACATTGTGAGAATCCAGCATTATCACATGGTAACAGATAATATTAAGCCAAAACACATGTTAAAACATTACAGTTTTATCAGAAAATATTTGAATGGAAGCCAAATGCCAATTTTTCTAGGACATACCCTCTGTTAGCATGAGTGTAGTAAATTCTTTTGCTCCTGCTTCCAAAAAGATTTGAAATTCTGAAGTAAATGTGAAACAAGGCTGTTAATTTATGGTTTTCTCTATCCCAGAGAGAACGCCCACCTCCTCCTGCTAAGCCTCCCCCTGATGAAGAGGAAGAACACGCAGAAAAGAAGCAGAGTGCATCCTCAAAAGTAAGTGTAGTGTTCTTCTCTTGGGTTGCAGCAGACTCAATGCTGCCATCCTAGCAGTTCAAAAGCATACAAATGTTAGTAGGTCTATAGATGGGAAGGTAATGGTGCTCCATGCAGTCATGCCGACCACGTGACCTTGGAGGTGTCTACAGACAATGTAGACACTTTAGCTTAGAAATTGAGATGAGCACCAAACCCCAAAGTCGGACACAACTGGACTTAAAGTCAGGGGAAAATCTTTACCCTTTACCTTTATCTAATACTAGCTGTACCCGCCATGCATTGCTGTGGCCAACCTTCCCTTGCTCTTTGTCTCCTTCTTTCTTTGGGGGGAGACGTAGTGCATGCACACACACACACACACACATACACATATGGGTGTGGATAATATGGTAATGTCTATGTTGAAAGGAAGTTGTGGAGAATACCTACATGGATGTTAATTTTACTATATTTCCTCAACTCTCCCCTCAAATGCACACAGTCACACGGGAAATAAGTGGTTCTGCTGGAGTGCATGTCTTGAGGGGTTATTGTGGGGATGATCTTGCATGTGCATTAATTCCACTATATTTTCACAACTCCACACAGCCATATGCACTCACTATTGCTCCATACGCACTCACTGTTGTGTATGTTGCCAAGTTGTAAAAGATAGATAGATAGATTGATTGATTGATTGATTTTCAATTCATATAGCAGTTCAAAAACATGCAAATGTGAGTAGAGCAATAGGTACCACTCTGGCAGGAAGGTAAGGACGCTCCATGCAGTCATGCCAGTGGCCACATGACTTTGGAGCTGTCTATGGACAACGCCGGCTCTTCAGCTAAAAAATGGAGATGAGCACGAGAGTCCCAGAGTTGGACATGACTGGATTTAATGTCAGGGGGAAACCTTTAGCTTTCACCTATACACACACAGACAGTGTGGATATGCTATTGTGTGTTTTGTTTCGTGAACAAATTGTGGGACTATAGATATCCTACGCTACCTTCCAAACTGTCCTCCCTCCCTGACAGGGGCAGACCCCCCTCATTGGTCGGGCTCTGCCCACCCCCCCCAGCTCCTGGCTCCCCCCTGCTTTGCTTGGCTTCACCATCCCCACCAAGTTGCAACAGAAACGGCTGTGACAGGCTCTGAGCCTGGGATCCGCTGCTACTGCTGCCTGTGCTTCTGCCTCCTTCTCCTCCTCCTCCTCCTCCTCCTCCTCCTCCTCCTCCTCCTCCTCCTCCTCCTCCTCCTCCTCCTCCTCCTCCTCCTCCTCCTCCTCCTCCTCCTCCTCCTCTTCTTCCTCTATGTGGGTCTCCCTTCAGACTCTCTCCTGCCTCAGAAGTTTGGTGGGGGCTGGAAGCCTTGGAAGTGCCCACCTTTGCAAAAGCAACGGGAAGAGCCAAGAGGAGGGAAGAGAGGAGGTTGCCTCTCTCTCTCTCTCTCTCTCTCTATCCCCCAGGCTGTGCAAGGCGTGCTCTCCCCTCTTTCCCAAGCTTCCTTCTTTCTTTCCTCCCTTCTTCCTTTCTCCCTTTCCTCCATTGCCACAGCAGGCAAGGTGAAGTGGAAGGAGTCATGCTGCCGTGAGGGAGGAAGCTCCCTGCCGCAGTGAGGGAGGGAGCACGGTGCCACTCGCTATGCCAGTTCTGTTTGTATGGCCGTGCGTGCGCACGCGCTTAGTTCTCAATGCTGTAATGACCTTCTTCCCTTGTGTGGATTTTTGGGGTTTCTGCTGTTTCTTTGGGGTTTATTTTGAGTGGAGGACATAAATTGGGTTGTTAGGTGTATCGTGTCCAAATTTGGTGTCATTTCCCCCAGTGGTTTTTGAGTTCTGTGAATATCACAAATGAACATTACATTTTTATTTATATAGATGAGTATGCAAATTATGTTGTATACTAACTTCATGCTGGCTCATGGGATCATTCTTGGGATGGTTATAGTTCTCATGTTCTTTCTAAGTAATTTTTTTTTAAAGGGTAACTTTAGGTTTTGTTACGCTAAACTCTCTCTAAAGGTTACACTAAAACTATGCTAAGTTCACATATATTAGGATGCCCTGGATTTTCCACTATGAGAAATAGTCATCCATGCACTGTCAGCTACTTTAATACCTATGAAAAGCAGATTTAAAGGGTTTTTTTTTTCAGTGAACTACACTTTCCCATGTTTTTTCAGGTTAGAAAACACGCTTTGTTTATAGCAGTAATGGGAAATACCTTTCCTATGGACTGCATGCATGGACCGAAAATGCTCTGCTTCTGTCCTCTAGGGGTGGTAGGGATAAATTTGCCAGGTTTAGCCCTTTCCAGCATGCTTTAAGCCAAGGGAGGACTTGGTTTGTGGTTGTGTCCTGATTCAGAAGGAGACCTCTTTTGGGCCTAAAACAGGCTTCAAAGGGGAAAAAATAATAAAATTGTCCCCATTACCCCAGCTGGGTAGTGATGGGACATAGGGAAAGTGTCGTTCTCCAGGTTTAGTAGGTAGAGAAATGTTTCGAGTCCATAGACCGAAAGTAATTTCTCACTCCTGGTTATGGCTGTGATAAATGAAAACGCATGAATATCAAATTTAAAAATAAAGTTCTGATTGTTCTAAGCTAAATTAAATTACCTATATTTCTGTTCTGTTCTGTTAGTTTCAAAATAAAATTACTTTTGATAAACCAGATAAAACAATCAGAATTTGATCCTCCATATGAGGAAAGGACAAAGTTGAGCCAGAAGCTCATCACAATCCATTTTCATAACAAGAATTTCCTAAACCAATCCAGTATAGATCATACATCTACTTGCAAGTTCCTGAGCATGTTGCAATTGATTATTTGAAGCTAGCATGCTAAAGCACAATACATACAATTTCTTTCATCTCATTTGTTTCTACTTTGGTAGTTTGAACTTATCAAAGGAATTTGGAAATATGGCATCTTTCAGTTGGAGTAGTATGAAGACAGGCACCTGGGAAAGAAGGATGTAGAGTAATTGGCACATGGCTTTTCTGAATGGAAGAGAAATTATATTGATAGACTTGCAAGATCTGTAGTAAAGGCAGAAATGGTAATGGTTGGTTACATTGAAGGTATATTTTGTAAAATTGTATTTGTGACACTGAAGGGTATATTTTGACTATTTTTTCTGAAACATTAATCTGAAATCTGCCATTGACACCATGACACTTTGTTTTTGGTGTGGCTAGGGCATGATCACCAAAAGAAAGAGTCGAGGAAGCACAGCTGATGAAGAAGAGGAGCATCCTTATGAGCTGCTTCTAACAGCGGAAACTAAGAAACATACTGCAGTAGATAAAAAAACAAAAGGTAAGCATTTACAGCACGAATATGTAGACTGCCATTTAGATTTGCTAAATTGAACAGTGAACTGTGACTAATCTTAGCTAAGGCTTGGTCGAATGAACTGGCTTCACAATACATGGTTTGAAGCATAGTTTGATAGATTTGAACAACACAACAAGCCACAATTAATTTAAAATATGGAAGCAATTGTTTTTAAGGTCCTCAAGGCCTTGCTAGGAATTGTAAGAGGAAAACAGGAAATATATAAGTGTGTGCTTGAATGAATCTTTTCTTCATGATGTTAGGTTGTTACCTACCTCAGCAGCTTCATTGAGTTGTACTTTCACATGATAAGTTATGGGATTTGGAAGTATATTTTTAATTAGGTTTCTATCTAGCTACATGAGATGGGAGTTCAAATCTGTCCGTTCTGTTGTATGCTTAGTATTTTATCAGCTTTGGGGAAAAAAATGAACTATTGAAAAGTTTTCTGAAAAAAATGTTCATAATACATTATGCATATCTATGAGTTTATTTGCTAAGTATACTGTTTACATCAAATAAATGAAAGTATTTGATTTAAAATACTTTATGACAATATCTTTTCAAGACTGTCTGAATGTTACAATTGAGTCTTCTTAGAAAATATCTAAATATTCAACAAGAGTAAAAAGGCAGTGTGATGTAGTTCTTTGAGTATTGATATATGATTCGAGAGGTACGTTTCAAATCTCTGCTTGGTCATGAAAACCTATTAGGTGACCTTGGACAAAGTCATATTCTCAACCTCAGAGGAAATCAAAGACAAAGTGCCCCTGAATAAATGTTGCCAAGTTGCCAAGAATACTCTGTGATAGGTTTGTCTTAGCATTACCTTAAGCCAGAAATGATTTGAAAGCACGTACTTCCAGCAGACATGGGCAAACTTTGGCCCTCCAGGTGTTTTGGACTTCCAGAAATCCCAGTTAGCTTACTGGCTGTTAGGAATCATAGGAGATTAAGTCCAAACACCTGGAGGACTGAAGTTTGCCCATACCTGCTAACAGCACCAACAATGACAACAAGGATTTGTAGCAACTCTTAACTTGTCAAATACAACCAGATGAAACAGGATTTGCAAGACAGACTCTGTGTTTAGCTGTTGATTAGAATAGCTATTGCTTCCTTGTGTGGCAGAACCAATAATATAAAATAAACAAAAAACCCAGAGTGCAGTAATTCATTAAGAAATAACCAGTTTGCCCTGTGTCTGTAACAAAGGCAATTAAAAAAGAAATTGCAAAACTAAAAATAGGCATTACTATTAAAGTGTACATTCAAACCGTCCAATTAATCTTTGAGGTATCACAGCATTCTTAACTTTGTTTTATGTAATGCCTGGAAAGTAGAGAATCCTACTTTAGATTTACCCAAAGTATTGTTAGCAAGAGATACAGTTTTGATATTAGAAATTACGCCAGTTCAGTCAAGAACTCAGACTGCATGAGTTGTATGAATACTCCCCATGCACTGCATTTCATGAAATAACATGTTTGTGCTTTTTCCCCTGTACGGAAAGCACATTTCAGCGTGATGAGGCCTTGAACTATTTTGGAAAATATTACATATTTGGCAAAAAAAAGTCTCTTAGGACTTTAGTTCTTGTCTTGTTAGATAATTGGCCCATCTTCTTCTAATACTGTACACACTAATTAACTTCTCCAGATCTCCAAGGTTGCAGGTAGACTTTTTCTAGCCTTGGAGATACTAGGGAATACCACTAATTCATTATGGGAACTTGGGCATTAAAAACATGAATTCTACCTTTTCTTCGTAGGAAGTCTTAGTTTTCTGCATCTTATTTTGTAGTGCTATAAAGATGGCATGTTGTAGCCATTTGAGCATTGAACTATGATTCTGGAAACCAGAGTTCAAATCCTTGCACAACCCCACTGAATGATCTTGGGTAATACAAACTCCTTCTGAACAAATGTGAAGTTTGTTTCCAAACGCACCAACCACAAAAAGGTTCAACATTAGTGAGGCTAAAAGACTTGACTATTCAGGCAAAGACAGGTTTGATTGATCTTCATGGTGCTTATCATATGGAACCTGACTGTCAACATAAGCTGATAAGGCAAAAATTGAAGTATTATCTTGTAATGGGAATCATAATGGTTGTGTAGTCTTCTACATGTATCTACATGTATGTAGATTCATGCCAGAAAGTACCGAATTCAATTGTGTTTCTTGAATAATTCCATAATAAAGGGTGAAATATCTTTGTGACATGGATAAATATGATGTTTGACATCGAAAGAATATAAGAACAAAGAATAACTGAGGTGACTTTGATTGCATCATTTTGATTGCATATTCTCAGCATGCTTTTTTTTTTTTTTGAGTTCCTGTAAAATTTGTTCAGATGGATTTGGTACCTTTTGCCACCAAATTCCATAAATCTTGAAAAGATAACCCTGTGATAGGTTTCCCTTAGGGGCATCATAGGTCGGAAACAAAAGCACATGAAAAAACGTAGCTCATAGTAAGTTTATGCTGTGATATGTGTCCTTAAAACTTAGAATTCACTTCACATTTGACATATGATGACTAGCTATACACATCCTATTTTGTTTCCTTCCGTATTGAACTTGCCACACTTCTTTAGATAATAAACTGCTGGCCATGGGATGCAGGAGAAGTTGAACCACTTTGCTGTGGAGGGGCCAAAGATATCAATCATGTAACTTGGAGATTCAGAAAAAGTACTGAGCTGGATATAAGAAAATGACACATTCATGACTGTGGTCTTTAATCCTAATTGATTAGGACAGGTTTTTGTAGTATAAATGTCAAATATTTTTATTTTAAAAATCTTAGGTGAATCATCATCGGGTGCTGCCACTGGTGTCCAGCCACAGGTAGGGTAACCAGATCTTTAACAGGCACTCAAGTTCAATAGAGTGGAAATAAATATTTGGGTTTGGCAAGGGGTGGGGGGAGATGACATTTACTTGATATATACATTATACTTACAATTATGCAGAGGTTTTAAGAATGGGATTAAATGGTAAAGGCACTGTACATGCTGGAAATGTAATATGAACAATGCCTGTCACTTCTTTGTGGACTGTTTGCCTGACAAAAAAAGGTTGTAATTGTCAAGTGTTTAACTTTAATACACTGTTTGAAGAAGAGTTAAGAAAAACATTATGCTTTAATTGTAGTTGAGGTTAAAAATACACTACATATGTGTTTCCATTTCTTTTCCAATGTAGGGAGATCATTTATTAATGTTGTATTGAATTTACTTCATGATTAAATGAACACAAAAGGTGAAAGGAAAGGGTTGCTGTTTAAAAAATCTAATTTATTGGAATGAGAGAAAGAGAGTGTGACAAAACACTAACTTCTTAGTAGCTTGACAATTATATATGGTTTTAACATGATATTGACTGAAAAGCCAGCTGTGAAATCATAAAACAGATTCTTATATTATCTTAAATGTTGAAAGGTTTTAGAAAATCTATCTCCTTTCTAGAAAATAAACCAATTTAATACTGTTTCTTAAAATAGCCTTCTTTGCAGTGGAAAGGCATTCTTATTGTATAAGGGACTGCTCCAAATATTGTGGATTGAAAGTCTTATTAAATTGTTTGTTCGGATGCATTTGACAAAAAGCATGTATGTCACATCCTATATTATCACAGCAATTGGTTAAATGCAGCTATGCCATTTTCGCTTTAAAGTTTTTTTCACAGTATAAGGGGCATTAACAAAAACAGTTGGTTATGCTGTGAAAATGCAAGCTTTTGTTATCCAGCTCATCTGGTATGCCGTGAAAATCCAAATTTTGAATATCCGGCTCATTTCGTTTTGCAATATGCAGTTAAAGTGAGAAGCTGTTGTATGGAGGTTAGAAAAACAATAGCATCCATAAATGGGAAATGCAATTGCGCTGTTTCTGGAAATGGCTCAGCTGATCTGTATAGCGAGGGTTCATTGAGATTCCGTGGTGTACTAACACCAGTAAAATTGGTACTATTTACTAAGAGCTGCTTAAGCATCTGGGAATGCATATTCTAACATCTCCCTAAAACCCCCAGTGACTCTGACACAAGGGCATCATTTATTATTTTTTTAGAAACACAGACTCTTTGGTTAGAGCTCTTCCAGAGAGAAGTACTTTTGCTACTGAGTGAATAAATTATGTTGTCATGATGTTCTTGTGTAAACTAAAGAGGTTACACTTTTCACATAATGTTATCATGTTCCTCAAAAAGAAGCAACTTCAAGGCCAAGGGTGGCACATATATAAACCAGTAGTCTGGTAGAACTAGGTTCTAAATCAATTGTGTAATGGTTTTAGATTATAACTCACATTAGCCTTACCCAGGTCAGTAGTGAGAGCTGATGAGGATTATGGTTTGGAGACAGCTGACACATTCCTTATCTGTGATCTAAACAGTTGTTGATTCTTCTGTTCAAATAGAGCTGAATGTAGTGCAAAAAGGCACATAGATATCTAATACTGGCTTACATCCACTTGTTTGTTTCAACTATAATAAGCCCATTAATTTAAATGGAATATACATAAATGTTGATTTACAAAGTTTAATGTTACAAATAGATTAGGGCAGAGCTTCTTAAACCTTTCCACTTGCAATCCCTTTCGGCCTGAGAAATGTTTATGTGATCCTGGGTATATAGGTGTATCAAATAGGAATAAAAATCAAACATTTACTGATAACAACTTGGCATTTGCAGGACTTGCTAAACAGGCTGATTTTCCTTTTTATGAAGTACAGCTGAAGCATCTTTTGTGTAGTCAACACAATGTAAATGTCTAAAACAGCCATTAGGTAACATTCAGAAAACTTTTACTGTTGCCAAATTTTTCAGGACCCCATTTGGGGTTAGGACCCATAGTTTAAGGAGCAGTGGATTAGGCTACGCTTTGAGACTTTTTATCTGACATTTAAAAACTTTTTATAGAAGATTTAAAAGAAATATGTAAAAACCACCAGAATTATCAAGAGAAAAACAGTTAAGAGCTCCATTGTTTTACACACTTTCCCCCCTCCAATCTTTTATCTAATGCAGCCTTTTATCCTCTTTTTCCTTTCTCCTTCAATTTCTCTTTTAGTTTCCACTTGCATCACTCACAGTTTGAAATCTTGGAAGCAGAGTATATAACAAAGATAATATGTGCAGTTATAATTAAATTGCAAAGTATTTGGGTATTTGGGTTCTAAAATGTGAGCTCTGGCTCTGATCATGCATTGAAATTTAAATAATACAAGATCCTTTTGCAGGCTTGGCCACGAAAAGGTCCATCTTCTCAAGATGGCCAGTGGCCACTCAGTTGCCAAGCTTCTTCTGAGTTTTCTTCCAGCCATTCTGAGCAATATTCAAGCCCTGACTTGCAGTTGGTGGAGATACCAAAAGGTAGGTATTTATTGCAAGTTATTCTATCTTCATCGGAGTAAGAAAATGAGTATTTGCTTTTTCTCCAAGGTATAATTTGGTTGGAACATGGTTGAAATACTCATAAAATGCTCTCACAAGACTTTGCTCATGTGCCAGAGGATATTTTTATGTTTGCAGTGTTGCTTTGAGGAGATGGAAAGCACAGACACTGTTTCATTTGAACAGTGACCCCATTGTTGGTCTTCCTTGCTGGCTTTGGGACAGTCAAATGTTCCAGTGTGCAACACACACTGTCAGCTGCTTTTACACCCTGTGATACTAATTCTAAATGTTAGCTCTATGCAGATGGCACGTGAAGCAGAATCCCATCACTCTTATGTGAGTGGTAAGGTAGCGAGCCATTCTATACTCTGCTGTGGGTCAGAGACAAGGAAATTTGGTTAAACATATCCCATCAGATCTCGCTTTATCAAAGCTTGTGATGGGGTATTATTATAGGAAGGTTTAGGAACCAGTATATAAGTTTTTTCATTGCAGAAATCTGATTTCCCCCCTAATTCTCATACACTAGAATTTGTGTTACTGGGCACAAATTTAAACATTTTAAATTTATTTTTATTTGAGGATCGTTAACTAAGCATAGTGGAAGTCAGTGGGAAATTGATTGGATTTATCCCTTTGAATCAAAAACAGTTATTTTCAGCATCTGTCCTGCTCTGCCCCTCCTAAACATGCATAAGGTTTTAAAGCTACTTTTTTCTGCTTATCAAATATTGTTCACAGAAGTAAGTATCCTTTTCTGCCTCATAAGGACTTAATCTTTAAGGGAGATTTTGAATAATACGCTATTGTGGAATTCTGGATAGTTGTGGGTTTTACTTGTAGCACGTACTGAGAAATGTTTTTATGGCAGTTGTTCAAGATAGATGTTCACAACAAGCTTTTTACTTATCAATATAAGTCAATTATTTATGTGTTATCCTGGTCCTGGCATTTGATACAACTTATTAAAACAAGTCTAATGACAGTCTCACATTTCAACAGCAGTTCATCTTGCAAGTAGATCGTTGCAGCAGTAAAACAGGTTACTGTATGTAGAGAAATTAATTAAAAGAAACGAGGTTTTGGAAGTGTTAACTTTTTTTGTAAAGTCCTTATTTCTCTTCCATAAGGAGGTGAGTTCATGCCACTAGGGAAGGAAGCAGCTGTAGGGAGGAGGGGGAATGTTTTCTAACTTGCAGGTTGTTTGCAGCTCTTTTTTCCCCACCCAGTGCTCTGTGCCAAGGGTAGGGAGTGCTGCTCTAAATAACACTTTGGCCTTTATGGAAATATCTTGTGTTCCAGGAGTCTCAGCCTGCCCCTCTCTGCAGAGTATAGTTAGCACTTCTCCAAACCTTATATAGCAAGAGCTGATTGTTAGTGTTAACAGGAATAAAATGAAACGGGGCGGGCTGCCAGATTGCATAAATCAGGCCAGTGTTTGGAATTTCATAAATGCTCTGACTTCGGGTACAATTTGAATGCTCTGAACAATACTGAACTGTTCTTTTTTATTTCTCTCTTCAAGGATGGGGGTAGGGAATGTGAGTCCTACTCATCTTGACTTTTGTGTGTACTGTTCATTTTTTGTTGTTGATGTTGTTTCTGTCCTTTTGAAGATCAAAGCAGGAGCAGCAATAACCACAGCCAAACAGATGAACAGGACGTCCCAGTACTGGATCAGTTCTCAGGTCTGCTGCATGGTTCTTCTCCGGTGTGTGAAGTAAATGAGGACCCTTTCAGACTCATTTCTGCTGTAGGCAAAGGAGGTACGGAGCGGACTGCTATGCAGCTGGAAGATGTTGAAACATCTGAATCAGTACAGACTAGCACTGCAGACCAAAATAAAGTGGTCTATTCAACCATCCGTCATAGCTGTGACAACAAGTTGGACCCTGAAATTTTAGTGCATCCTCATTTGCCACAGCACCCTGGTGGTACTGAGGACGGAGACAAGAGTGGCGTTGTGGGCAGAGTTCATGCAGGAGGCAAGTCCAGAGCAGAACTTAAACTTAGCCGTAGCTTGTCAAAATCGGACTCTGATCTTTTGACGACTTCACCAACAGAAGACGATACTATGGGGAGCAGAAGTGAATCCCTTTCTAATTGTACTGCTGGGAAAAAGAGGCTCGAGAAATCACCTTCTTTTGCTTCAGAGTGGGATGAGGTGAGGTTGACTTTGCTTTTATAAAACTATTTTTAGTGAATTAAGATTGTTGCATGGATTGAACCGATGCTGTTTTCAAAGTTGGAAAGATTGGATTGCTCTTTGTTCTACCTCTATTTTACTTTGGTGATTAATTTAATATATCTTGATAAGCTAAACTCAGTTTTGAACATGGTTACTTCAGAGTTGAAGATAAAAAAGATTACATTTTGTGGGATAAAATTAGGGTTCAGAGTGTGAATTTTGCTGGTTTATCCCTGCCTTTGTGGAACAAAATCTATATGGACGCAAAGGGGAGAGCAGAAAATGTTGGATAATCAGTTGCCAAGTTGTAATAAGCTTCCATAGCTAATTCTCTTGATAATGACTTGCAAAAAGGAATGGGTCACATATCTAGGTCGCCACTGTCTTCTTTGTATAAAATGAGAAAAGATCAGTAAAGACATGGAGTACCTCAGTATATTCAGACTGCTGAAGTAGTTCAAAAGATTAATTGAAAGTCAGCTTGGGGAGTAGTCCTTTGGGAGATTATCCTAACAGACAGTCCTCTGATCTCAGAGCCCTTGTCACTTCCAAAGTCCCACTTGTTTGCATAATGAAATCACTGGTGGAGTAGATGTTCAGTTGTGTCCTCGCTGTGTGACTTTTTGAGTCCTTTCAGAAAACAAATATTCCTGGAGTTAGGAGCATTTTATTTCTATATTTTTCATATTTAGGGTCTAGGAAGCTGCACAATGACTGATTCAAGCTTCAAGGTGGATCTAAAATTGAATTTTCCACTCTGACATTGGCATAACGTTGACTGTGTTGAAGGAATCATTTGTGTCTTATCCAATGGCACCAGGAACCATAGCACAGGATCCTAAATATATGAATGCCTCTTAAGGAGGTTAAGTATTTCCTGATAGAACCTGAGATTAAGTGTCCCTCTTGAAACTGCCACAGCATTACTATAGCATTCCTTGCTGGTTCTAATTAAAGCACAGTTGTATGAAAGATGTTTCATTCACATTAAAAGGGCAATCCTACCACAGCTGAGGATCAGTTCTGAAGATTTATTTGCCAAGTCTGAATAGAATGTACAAGAGAATTTATCTGCTGTGTCCTACAGATTTAGGATTTCAATGAAATGAAACACATTTGGAAACAAATTTCCATGTTATACTTAAAATAAAGGGGCTGTCCTGTGACTATCCAGAGTGATGGTGGGATGTAGTTTCCTAAAGATGTAATTAAAATGAAATAATTCTGTACTGTCTGTACTCTGTGTCTTTTCTTACTTATTCAAATGGATGCCATGTGATTGAGATTTAGAAGACAGTACGCAAAAAGTTTGCTCAAGCTTCAATTTCAGTTTATTTTCAACTTTAAATCAGAGTTCTTCTGTTTAGTAAATTTAAGATATGCCGAAACCTGTCTAGCACTTCTCTAGTTTTACTGCCAAATAGGTATATAAACTGAAAAATGACCTCTAAAGGCAATATTAGCAATGTAGCCGAAACAAACAGAACTCTAGATTTCCATTGATTACATAGCTTCTTCATATGTAAAAATAAATATTTTGCACTCAAATGTAGCACATTCAGCATATAATTCATTTCAGAACTGTATTAAGTAGAGTTATATATTATTGAAACAGTTACTAAAACTAAATGTACAGTTACCCCCCCCCCCCCCCGGGCTGGGGTTGTATAGGTACCTGTGAAAGTGGAGAAAACATGAATATTAAAAGCAGTACCTTTTTCTAACCTGGAGAATCTTGTCTCTAGATTATGCAGAGCAGCTCCAATCCTACCATTAACTTCCAGAAGTACTATTAAACAGAGTACTTAACATATTTGATAGTCAACGAATACTCAGATGTGGTTTTGCCAGTTCCTCTTCTGAAATATAGCCTACAGCACTTGGTGTTTGTTCATAGTCTCTCCTATAATTATCCAGCACTGACTCTGCTGAGCTTCCAAGGTCAGATGAGATCTGCTGCCTTTAGGGTCTTTGGGACCCAAATAAAGTTATTTATGGGGACCCTCCCTACCCTATAGGTTTATCAAACTGGTCTTTAATAACCTTAAATAGTTTAAGATGTGTGGGTTCTCCCCCCGCCCCCCAAGTTAGGCTTTTGATTATGTAGGATCTAGTCGCAATTAAAGTTAACTACTGCCAGTCTGCTACTGAACACAATTCAAAGTGCTGGTTTTAGCCTATAAAGCCCTAAACGGTTCTGACCCTGCTTACCTGTCCGAATGTATCTCTCTCTATGAATCATCTTGGAGATTAAGATCTTATGGGGAGACCCTGCTCTCAGTCTCACCTTCCTCACAGGCGTGGTTGGTGGGGACGAGGGACAGGGCCTTCTCAGTGGTGGCCCCTTGGTTGTGGAACTCCCCAGTGACATCAGATCAGCTCCTTCTCTCCTGACCTTGAGGGAAAAACTGAAAATGTGGATGTGGGACCAATCTTTTGGTTAATCAGTGCAATATGTGGATTTTGGAATGTTGCAATGATAACTGTAATGGCCTGGACTATGATATTGGATTATGTGATTTTAATAATTTTAATGCTGAAATGTTTTTAGTGGTTGTTTTAATATATATGTTTTATTTGTCAGATATGTGTTGTATGGAACAAATTGTGCCTTTATTTGTGCTGCTTTTAGTCCTCTTTGGGGTGAGAAAGGCAGGATATAAATATGGCAAATAAATAAATAATAAATTAGAGGACTGTATATTGTCAATTTTGGGCGGAAAATTGATCCCTGTTAAAATTATTTTATGTTTATGTAATCTTTTGGGTTACCTAGAAAATATAATTTTCTTTTTATTGGAGCATTACCCCTCTTGTATTCTCATACAGAGTCTCCTTTTATTTGTCAGCATTTATGGAGATTATATGGCTGGATCCAGACTAAATGTATTATGCTTACTTTCCAGTGAACTCAGTGGGGTCTCACTTATGCATGGCTAATCTTTTGCAGTAATTTTAGTGTATTTCAAGAAGCAGTCCTATGCATATTAATGCACAACCATTCCTCCACTTTTGCAGTTTTCGCACAAAAGTAGAGAACCCACAAATATATCTAGTGGCGACAGGGGTAATGGGACACTACCTCTGCTCTCCAGGGGATTGGGAGAAGTTGATCCCATGTGTTACTTCATTTACCCTGTGGGTTGAGGTTCCTTTTCCTCTTCCTCTATAGCACAAGTCTCTTTTGTAAATGAAGAAAGAGAGGGACCAATAACATGTGGCAATCTGGAAGAGGAGGATGAATCTGCCCCTGCTGATCCAGTTCTTCCTCCTCCTTCCTGTGTGCCACATGTTTCACTGGTACTCTTCCATTTTGTCTGTGCAGAACTGAATTTGTGAAACATGAGAAGAAGAAGAATTTCTGGATCTGTAGGGTAAACGAAGCAGTGTTGGACCAGCCTCTCTTACCTTTGTGCCACAAAATCTTTGTTTTGCATGGGAAAGGAAGGGAGATCCTGGCTGGAATAGAGATTTATGGCATGCATGGCCTCTTGCCCACCTCCTGATAATGGGGCTGCCATATGTATATATTTGCATGGCAGCCTCAATTTCAGGAGGTGGTGAGTTTTATACTTTTGAATAATCAAAACAGTGAATATGAACCCAATTCTGCATTTTCTTAAGTAATATTATAGAACTGCAGGCTAATTTAGATCTTGAGTCAGTCCCGTTATTTGCATCATTGCTAAGTATAGCTTCAGTTGGATTAGCCTTTTATTTTTTAAAAGACAACTAAAAGGCACTTCATATTTATGAGATTCCCTGGGCAGCTGTTTGGAGCAGGGTATTTAGCACTGATGTATCTACTATGTCAAAGCGTGGCTAGCATCTAGAACCATTTTTGCAAGCATCACATGTGTCCCTCATCATAGAATGGAAAATGTTTAAGATGACTCAGGAGCTCTATGGAATTTGATGAACCATTCCAGATCTATTGTACATTTGGGAGGCTGTCCCCCCACCCCCATGCCCAGCCCAGCCTCCCCCAAAACACACAAGGACTACTGTCTATGAAGTTTATAAAAGCACCTGGAACCTAATGAACTAGTTGATAGTTGTTTATTGTACCAACCACAATAGTTTTGTATGTATGCCTTCAAGGTGATTGTCGATTTATTATGACCCCATGAATTTTGTAGAGTTTTCTTGGGCAAGAAATAATCTAAGGTGGTTTTTTCAGTTTCTTCTTCTGAAATACAGCCTACATAAATATTATTTTTATTAATTTATTTTATCTACCACCTTTTGCTGGCATTAAGACCCGAGGTGGCTTACAAAAAGGGTAATAACAAAATTAGCTAAAAACGCAACAAACCCCCAAAATAAAACCACTAAATAAATAATAACATTAAAACAAATATCAACAAGCAAAAATCATTTAAAGCACAACAAAGTTAAAAATCAGACATACATGTGCCATATATTTGCTCCAGCTCATGTTCACTTATACTTTTTTATCTCCTGCAATTCTTTTCCTTAGATTCCTTAGATGTCAGGCTATAGACTTTCCTTTAGAGCAAAAATGTTGACTAGTTCAAGTATTGATAATAAGCTAGGAATTATTTTTAAGTGAAGTTATTTCAGCTATAGAACATATACAGAAATATATTAAAGTAAGAACTAAAACATGAAGTATGGTATATATTAGGCTGAAATGGGATGAAATGTCTAGTAATAAGTGTTCATTTTTGTTATAAAGCCAAGGGTTTCTGGATACTTGTCTTGATGTCCTAATTAAGACAGCTATAGGGGAGCTGGCTTTCTTTTACGACCTTTCTGGGTCAACGTTGAATTGTTTTTCATCTCCTGCTCAAGTCTGTGGCAGAACTATAGTTCAGAAGCTGGAGTCTAAACCGTAACAACTGCTTACAACTATGATGCAGAAAAATCAACATTGAAAGTACCCTATCAGCTAAAAAAACCCCATACTTATTGCCTTACTTCACCGGGGAATAAATGAGAAAGAATGAACTTAT